ATATATAATTCTAAGTACTGCTATGCATGAAATATAAGTTTATTAAAAGATGAAATTCAAGAATGAACTTTTGACTATTCTCATCACTAGCCTGGTTTGCTAAGTACAGAAGACTGGATGTTTGAGCACACTGTGAATATTTCATCCACAGAACATAGGGAGCTTCCACTAGAACAAGAGAGAAAGAAAAACCTACAGTCTAGAGAACAAAAGCTAAGATTTCCAAGTTTTAGTGGCCATGTTTCCCATAGGGCTATTGTATAAGAAGAGTAATACTATATTTTTTCCTATTCATAGATGGAAAAAGAGTAAAATTTTTGCTTTATTTAAACCCAATAGCAATACTCTTGCATGGGTTTCTGAAAAATGATACACATTTTGCAGTAGGATAATGAGGACCATTAGTTATTAGAGAGAACAAATTATTCTTATTCAACTCAACAGACTTATTCATTCACTCACTTAATAGACTATCCTCTCTTCTTTTCACTAAAATGGACTTCCCATATGGAATACCTGGCCATGCAACATGCCACCAGACAGACTTCAGGGGGTATCTTGACGGAGAGAAAGAGAATTTCCAAAGTGAAGCCACAGGATAAAACCAACACTTGATGCTTGCCTTTCATTTCAAGGAAAGCAGTATAAAAGCAATAGAAAAAGAAAAAGGTAGTTGAAAAATATAGTTGCTCTCCACAAAAGAATCTTAAAAATACAAAATCATGAACTTAATAATTTTCCTAAATGAAATTATGCCATTATTCCTGATTTCTTTGTACTAACTAAAAGGACAAAGTATCAAACTTCACTAAAGTTTCAACACTGTAATACATTTCACTAATCAAAGATAAAAACTACATTAAAAGCAAGAGAATTATTTTATGTCTGTGATTAGGCAGTTGGAGGGCTTGTATTTTATGTATACATTTGTACACTTCAACTTATTTAACAGTGTCAGTTCACTAACTGCAGTTTTTTTTATATATAAAGAAAACAGATTTAGAAATTTTAAAACAAATTACAGTAATTTTATGCCTACAGCTTGTACCTCTTAGAAACCACGTACCCCCTAACACTTCCCTTACTTTGCCACCACTTCCCCATCTCCAAAACTGTAAGCTGTAGGAGAACTTATAACGGGGGCCTAAAAGCCCCAAGGGAATAGCCACCCTAATTTTTCACTAGGAATTGAGAAATAAAGGGTACAAATAAAAATCCAGCTACTGGATAGGGCAGAGGCAAATAAATGCCTGCAGAAATCTGCCTGGTGAGCTTCAATGTTTTCTACAGATCTTCATGATGATGGGCACTTCTAGGTGTGTACTTCATTAATACTAAACCACGAGGCTGAGATGTGTCTCAGTGGTAGAGTGCTTGCCTAGCACATACAAGGCTCTGGGTCTAACCCCCAGTATCACAAAGGAAAAGAAAAAAAAAATACTGAACCTCCTTTGAAGAAAGGAGGAGAGACAAAGGACTAAAAGATTTGTTGCTAGTATAGATGGATATGTATATGCTGCTGGGGCTGGCAGGGGTGGGATACGAGTAAAGAACAAGAAAAGGAGAAGAGGACTACACAGTGATGACAATTTCAAACATTCTCAGCAAAAAAAAAAAAACACTTTTAAGTGACAGAAATAAGAAAAGGCAGCTGAAAAGGGGGAGTAGCAGCAGTTCCTCCAAGGCTCAAGACACATGCCCTTCCATCAGTTTGAACTGGCTACATGGCACCAAGAAGAGGCTGTCCACAATAGTATCCATACTGTCACACCCATGCCCAAAGACCTTTTGGGGTATGGAGGGAGAGAAATGGGTATATAGTGGGACTGTGTCAAGTCTTGAATGCTCCCTCTATTGATTGAGATTGGCCGGTAATGAGACATAATGTGAAACCTTTGAAAAGGAGACCAATTAGTCCACTACTGACTTTGCAAACAATTTGCAAAAATTTGACTCATCAGGCAGCCACAGTCATGATAAAGTACCTTTCAGCAAGTAAAGTTCTGCCCCCTGTATTGGCTCAGGATATAGCTCAGTGGCAGTGTGTGTGCTTAGTACACACAAAGTTCTGAGTTCAGTCCCTAGAACCCTCTCCTCAAAATCTGATCCCTGTTCAAATTATAAACAAAAATAATGTAAACTATGGCTTCCAGAACCAGACCACGGCATCTGGGCCTCTCTCAGCATCACCGATCTTGATACATCTGAGTGGCCATTGGGCCTATTCACCTAGGCAGGCTTCATCACCCTTTGCAGTCCAGTTCTTTTGTTAAAATGCAGTGCTTTACACTTCCTTCTTTTAAATATCATTCATGAGCTGGGGCTTTTCCATCTACCCCTTTTAGTACTTGGTCACTAGAAGATTCAAAAGCAAAGAAGGAAAGGGCAGCAGTTTGCCTTCACACCAGGTTTTTGACTCCACAAATGAAAAAATTTAGCTTAAAAAAAATACCTCTAGGGCTGGGGATATAGCTCAGTTGGTAGAGTGCTTGCTTCACATGAACAAATCCCTGGGTTCAAATCCCAGCACCACAAAAATAAATAAATAAATAAACAAACAAATAGCTTTAGCCGGGCCCACACCTGTAATCTCAGTGGCTCAGGAGGCTGAAACATGAGGATTGTGAGTTCAAAGCCAGCTTCAGCAATTTAGTGAGGCCCTAAGCAACTCAGTGAGACCCTGTCTCTAAATGTAATACAAAAAAAGGGCTGGGGATGTGGCTCAGTGGTTAAGCACCCCAGGTTCAATCGCCAGTACCAAAAAAACAAAAAACAAAAACAAGCAGCTTTGCTTGAGGTTTTCATGGGGAACATAAAGGTGTGTGAAGCTCCCTGAGCTGGGGTTGTAGAGCACTTGCCTTGCACATCTGAGGCACTGGGTTAGATCTTCCGCATCACATAAAATAAAAAAAATTAATTAAAGATACTGTGTCCATCTATAAATAAAAAAAAAATATCATTAAAAAAAAGATGAAGCTCCACATGCTTATACATCCACACCATAGCAACCTGGTTGAGAACATCTTTTCTAGCCTCTCAGAGCTACACTATTTATTGCAAAAAAGTTTAGCACAGTGGTTAAGAATAGAATCTTCAGAATCACACATTGTTTAAAATCCAATGAAAGTTGAACACTTACTAGCTATGTGACAAGACCAAGTTAGTTACTTCTCTAAGTCTTGGCTTCCTTCTCTATAAAAGAGAACTAATATGACATACCTTCATGAAGTTGTGGCAAGGGCTGAATGAGATAAGATATGCAAAGTACTTATCACAGCATCCAACAGAGGAAGCACTCAATGTATATGAGGAAAAAAATGAGGCTAAAATATATCATGCATTTATAGTCCCCTCCTCCCAGCTGAGGATTTATAAACATCATCAAATACAACTCAACTTGGAGAATACATTATATGATTATTTTGGTAGCAGAATTTTATCTTCCTAATTATGTTTTGCTTAGGCAAATGTCAAAAATGAGTTTCCACTTCCAGAGCAGACACTGATGGAATAGTGGGGATGGGGGTGGCAGGAATAAGTTCAGAAACATACTCAACAGGGCCAGAATGGAAAATACATGCCTCAATAATCACCTGTGGAAAAACCAATCTCATTCCACAAAGGTATACTGAGTAATATGTGCAAATCCTGAAGACCAGAGGAATTTGGACATATTTATACTGAAATTTGAAAGGAAGTTGGGAGATGGCTACAATACTGTTCACTGAGCACTCCCTTTGCCCCATGCACATCTTTTTTGTTTAAAATTTATTCATTTATTTATTTATTCTAATTTGTTATATAGGACAGCAGAATGAATTTCAATTGATAGTATACATATAGAGCATGATTTTTCATGTCTGGTTGTACACAAAGTAGAGTCATACCATTATTGTCTTCATACATGTACTTAGGGTAATAATGTCCATCTAATTCCACCATCTTTCCTACCCACCTCATACACATCTTATTCCCCCTAAGTAATTCTATTCTACCTTTCAAGAAACCAATGTGTAGACCAAGGTTTATGAATAGTAGAACTAGCATTAAAATTCAGGTCCCTATGATGCCAAAGCCCATGATACAAGGGATACATTGTAGTGAAAGGAGAATATTCCATGAAGCAAAGCCAGAATGTGCAATGCTTTATTTAGGGTATATAGTGTAGACCGAATAAGATATAAAGCTAGAAATAGAGGTTGGAGCTAGGAGGTTAGTCTACAATTGCCAGAATTAGAGTCTGTGAGATGACAGTGGCATCTGGATTTGACTTATTGACAGCAAGGAGCCACTAAGGATAGTACTCTAAAAACATTCAACTTAGTGCACAACAGACTAGAGAACGAGGACCTTAAAAGTAATGGAACTATGTGCTGGTTGTCTAGAAATGTAATTAGGGCTGGTTGAGAAATAAACTTCTAAGGATGACAATAATAGTGATACACAAAGGGATGATGCTGCAAAAACACTGAGGTCTCAAGGATAGCTGAGGAGAAATTAGGGATCAGTCAATTCCCAGAGAATAACAGCAAGCCTAGAGAATAATAGCAAGCCAACTTAAAGTGAGAAGAGGACACTGAAAGAAAATTAAAATTAAAAATTTTACATTAAGATAAATTCTCATTTCACATGAAAATACCTTTAGAAATAGACAAGATTAATCAATAAGCAAGACATCATAACAATATATCCTTATTAATTAAACTTACAATGATGTAAGCTCAGTGACTAATGGTACTTGAAATCTTATGTTCAGCCTTTCTTTTGCCTCAGCATTTACTCACTGAATGCCAACTGTAGAGCAGGCATGAGGTTACAGATATAGCAAACACATGTCTATGAGGGGAGACAGTAACCAAACAACAACAAAAATAAATGTCTAACCATAAACAAAGAAGTGTCAGACACAATACTATACACATAAATAGGCATCCTAACAAAGGAGGACTGTATATACCACTGTTACACTGTGAAAGTCTACTAGAGCCTGGGATACCTACCTAACCATGTTGCAATGAGCACTGCATCAATTCCATCTATTGTCTCACAGATTCGTGACACAACTGGGTGGATCTGCTGGGCCAGGTAGTACTGGGTGTCAATGGTTAAATTGTCCTGTTTTTGCAGTTGTTCAGGTGCATAGGCTCTCTGACTTGCAGTGAGGTTTGACCCGTCCTAAAAGAAAACAGGGACAGGTAAAGTTGAGAGTGACTTAATAATACACACTTGCTTGATCAGAGGGACAACAGTTTAAATTTTATGTATCCATAAAATTCAAAAAATTTAATTCTAAACACCAAGAAGTCTTTTTGACTTATTGTTGAACATTTCATTTCACGTGTTTATCTTAGCAGAGTAGAAAGATCAAGGGGCTGGGGATGTACTTCAGTGATAAAATGCTTGCCTAGAGGGCATGAGGGGAAGGAGGGAAGGAGAGAAGGAACGAAGTAAGGAAGGAGGGAGGGAAGGAAGGAAGGAAGGAAGGAGAGAGAGAAGGAAGGAAGTAAGGAAGGAGGGAGGGAAGGAAGGAAGGAAGGTAGGTCAATCAAAAAACCTCTCAGTCTCGATCTCATCCACTGTCTGAGAATATAAATTCAGCATGTGTTCAATTCTATGTTTTGTCAAAATACGAAACCAACAAGATGGCACTGGCTAGACTAAATAATTTCACCTGCCATATCATAAAAACTCATTGAGAAGACTTGGTAACAATTAGTCGAGTCAGAAAGGCTTTTAAAGAAGTTAACAATTCTTGGGCTGGGGTTGTGGCTCAGTGGCAGAGCACTTGCCTAACATATATGAGGCACCGGGTTCAATTCTCAGCACCATGTATCAATAAATAAAATAAAGGTCCAACTAAAAAAAAAAAGTAGTAACAATTCTGTTAATGTTATCCTTTCCAGCCTACATACCATCTAAAAGGACTTCCAAATTTTAGCCTACATACCATCTAAAAGGACTCTCCCTAATTCCTGAATAGTATTTTCTATGAGAGCTTTATGTATCCTTGAGAAGCAAATGAACAAGGGGGAAAGACTGTAGAATAAAACCCATGGAATAGAAAGTTATATGCAATATTTGTATAAGAAGTATAAATACAATTACTATAATATCCTGGGGGCTGGGTATGTGGCTCAAGCGGTAGCGCGCTCACTTGGCATGTACGGGGGCGCTGGGTTCGATCCTCAGTAACACATAAAAATAAAATAAAGATGTTGTGTCCACTGAAAACTAAAAAATAAATATTAAAAAATTCTATCTATCTATCTATCTATTTATCTATCTATCTATCTATCTAATATCCTGGTGAGTGGCAGTGCTCAAAAAACAAATACCTGGCCACTGGAATGAAGGACCTGGAAAGGAAGGTGATCAGAGACTCTTTTCAAGGGCTTTCTCTTTCACTCTAAAAATTAAAGTTGTGAAATTATATATAATTAGCCCACATACAGCTCTTTGGTGATGTCATCATCACCTGTGAATCAAAAAAGTCATCACCCTATAAGACCAACATCCAACAACTTACTCTACTCTACCTCTCATCTGAAATAGAATTTAATATTTCAACTAGTAAATTATAAATATTCACAGTGCTCAGCTGCTCTGTAGAACTGAATATGATGTGAATCCTATTCATTTATTACTGCTACTATCAGTCCCATCTAAGCTCAGCATCCAGCCCAAAGCAGAGGCAATATCACTGCCTTTACTAGAGACCAGAGGCAGGGCTCGCTCTCTCTGGATAGCTCCTGATGAAAACAAACTGGGTTCTACCTCTTCTAAGATACAGTGAAACACGTAGAAAGGAAGTAAACCTCAGATTTCAAAATTTGCTTATTATTTCTCAGGAGTTCACAACATAGTAAAAGGAATTGAGTAGAATTAATCAAATTTAATTGTTGCCCATTTAGAAGCTTGTTAGAAGTTTGTCAGATGAACATAAGGCAACAGTCAAGGACAAAAATAGTGTGAAAATACCCCTAAGCAGTGTTTTTAAGCACCACATAGATCAGACTGCCTTTTAATGTGTGAAATATAATTGATTTTATAGAGTTATAGCTTTCTGTTGAGTTTAATAATTTTTTATGGTACTTGGAATTAAACCTGGGAGTATTCTGTGCCTGGGCTAAATCCTCAGCTCTGTAAGTGGCCCAGGTTGGCCTGGAACTTGCAATCCTCCTGCCTCAGCTACCCAAGTAGCTTGGATTACGGGCCTGCATCACTGCTTCCAGTGGCATTTAATAATTTTTAATGAGTTTAAATAAAATATTTAGAGGTAAAATATTTTTTAAAGGCACTTGGGAGCTAGGGGATGTATAGCCCAGTGGTAGAGTACCTGCCTAGCATTTGCTGGCATCTCAAAACTAAAAAAAAGCACTTGAGTTATTTTCCATTATATCATTAGAAGTTCTCATATAAAGGCACATTTTTTAAAAAACAATTGAAAATTTCTGAGCATACTTCTTATCTCAGTTCAAACATGGAAGAATTCAGAATTGATTAGATAACAAGGTTTGCTATATTATACTGGGAAAACATGTAGGTTATGTCAAGATATATCTCACAGAGACTTAATTCTCAAACTGGAGCAAGACCCCATGGTATATGCACAAAATAAGGCACACACAACTTTAAGAACAGGTTGCAATGTTGGTTTTCCTTGAAGTGCCCATGTAGCAACTGCTGAACTTCACAGGGACAACCAGAAGCTCAAAATTATATTGTCATTGTTGGTGGGGATCTAACAGAAAAAACTTTTAAAATGAGTGATAAGTTGGCCCCTTAAGATAGTTATGTTAAAGGCATGTCTTATGGAAATTATGACCAATGAAAGTAAAGAAAAAAAAAAGATTAAAATTAGTGAACAAACAGAATTGAAGATCTGAGCAAATAATTCCTATAGGTTTAACAAGAGAATAACTACAATATAAATTAGATACCAAAACATTATCCTCTGAATTTATAGTCTGAATAAGTTATCTAAATGTAAAATCTAAATAAAATAGAACCTATTTAGGAGGCAGGCTATCCTTAGAAGACACATTGGCTTAAGGCAGCAAACAGTCCTTCTAAAATTTGTTTCCATACATTTTCAAAGCTTATTTTAAAAATACAGTTGTGCTATGAAACACAGAAAGAATAATTTGGCTGCTTAAAAGCAAAAGACGTGGGAACTTCTAGTTAGCACACATGATGAAAGGGGGCATGTTCCACAGATAGAGGCCTATCTTAGGGCATTTAAAGAGAATAAGACAATAAAAAGAATCATGAACTATTTTTAAAATATTTTTTAGATGTAGATGGACACAATATCTTTATTTTATTTATTTTTATGTGGTGCTGAGGATCAAACCCAGTGTCTCACACACATGTGAGGCAAGTGCTCAACCACTGAGCTACAACCCCAGCCCTCATAAACTATTTTTTAAAAAAGCAAACAAGTTAAGGCCTAGTATCACTGGATGGAAAAATGCAAAAAAATATACACAGTTGGACATATTGTACTACCCTAGCATCATCACTGAGCCTTTATAAAGCAATAAGACCAAGAAGAGGAAATCATTAAGACCTGATATTCAGACAAGGATTATAAACTTTTAAATACATTGATCATCATATTTTGTAAGTTAGCATATGTCTCCATTCCAGAAACAGGGAGAAAGCAAACAGGTAGTCCATCTTCATGGAGGGAGGGAGGAGAGAAAGGAAATTGGTTGAATCATCTGTGCTTTCTTCATCTGTGCTTTAGCCAAACTATGATTGTGGCTTGATTTCATCATTAGATGCTATTTTACCACACCTAGATAATTTTTTCAAAGTTGTATGCTATCATCTGGTCCTGTAATTAAAAATCTAAGAGCTTTTCCATGTATGTAAAGATATAAATGGAAAAAAAACTAACCTATTTACCAAAATCTTTATTTGCATAATATGAAAATTGTTTTTTTGAGATGAGACTTGTCAGAGGCAATATGCAAAGCACATTAAGGGCTTGAGCGAGTCAGACATTTATGGAAATATTTTCCTGCAGGAATTTGCTTTCTGTAACAGTTCTTAATCAAGGGTAACCCTAGGAGGGAGACAGAGTCAAGTGCTGATTCCTGTCCATGTACTTATATCATTTGTTATGTACATCATCTACAGTATGTAGCAGATAGTAACAGTCTACTTTTAAATTTTTACAAATCTCTGTGGTTTAAAAACACACTGATTTAACAAAAATCAATCGTTGTAATGAATTTAAAGTTTTATCTAATGCTTTACTATAATAACAATGCAATAAAAATCAGGATAAAATTATTAATAATAATTTAAAAGAAAAATCTTACTCAGATGAATTATGCCTTGGGGCAAATAAACCATAATAATTTCAAACAATTTGGTTAGAGACTTATGACTCTGACTTTTTTTTTTAAACAAGGAATAAGGATGACAGCGCTCTTTGTTCCAATTAGAATCAAGTGCTTTCAAGGAAAAAAAAAACTGCTCTTCTGTCATATGTCTCTGTTTCAATCCCAGTCAGCAGCATGCTAGTCTCAAATGAAACTGGTAGTGGTTTAAAACTGTTTCAGAAGGCCAAGCAGTTCATCAGAGGTAACTCACTCAGGGAGAAACAGGGAGAAAGCAAACAGGTACTCCCTCTCCACGGAGGGAGAGAGAGGGGAGAAAGAAAGAGAAAGGAAACTGGTTGGATTATCTGTGTTTTCTTCATAATGTATATCTTTAGGGTCTCTCAACCTTCCTTCATATAATCTCAGATTTCATATTTTTTCCAAGTAATTATTTTGATATAGGCTAAGGAGCTATAAAAGGATACTGCTGGACACATGACCAAACTTACATGCATGTTCTTTCTTTAAAATATTCTTTTTAAGTTGACGTTGGACACAATACCTTTATTTTTATGTGGTGCTGAGGATCGAACCCAGTGCCCCACACATGTTAAGTGAGCACTCTACTGCTGAGCCACAACCCCAGCCTCTTTCTTTCTTTTTTTAGGGAGATGCTGGGGATAGAACCCAGGGCCTTGTGCATGCTAGGTAAGTGTTCTACCACTGAGCCACACCCACAGCCTATAATATATTTTCATTAAAATTAATTTAGGGTTGAAAGAGTAGCTACTGTTATAAACATCTCACCAAAATAATTTCAGTGAACCAAAACACAACCCTTAAGTATTTCATAAAACTTCTAATAAAACATACCACATCCCTAATAAATGTTTTTTAAACGCTGTAAAACTAGCTAGACTTTTGAGTCATCTCTTTACAGGATCAATTATTTCGAAGACTAGTAAATAAGACACTATGGCATTCTGGATTTTACTATGGATTCTTAAATGGTATGAGTCTTATGAATTATGATTTACCTGACAGATGACATATGACACAGTATCTCCAGCTTTCACCTTTCTGCCTCCTTGAGAATTTATCCAGAGGGCAACATGTACATGAGGTAGACTTTTCTTATCAGGGTAATCCTGGGGATCCTTTGTCAATGCCTAAAATAGAAAAAAAGAGGGGAAAAAGCCAAAACCTTAAAATAAAACTCTTCTCACACAGAGATATACAATGAACACATCTTTGCTACAATCATATTAGCCACATAAGCATAAAATGAAAAGTATGCAGAAAACACAGCCACAGAATATTTAAACAGTCCATCCATCCTCAAGGATCCTCTCTTCATTTACTAATTAACATAACAAGATGCAACCTTAAAAAAAAAGGATTATAGCTCAGGGGCACCGTTTGCCTTGCAGGCACTAGGTGCTGGGTTCAAACCCTCTTCCCAGCACGAAAAAAAAAAAAAAAAAAAAGAAAGAAAAAAAGAACTACAAGTTTATGTGCTGTGCTGCATAAATATCTGAATATATTTTAAAAAATCAAGACTCTAAATCCAGTGTTCTATATAGCCTCCCAGAGTTTCTATCAACATTCACGATTCTCTCAAATGAATTAATTGATTAGTCAGGACAGATGAATAACAGCAACTCTGACATAATAATCTGTTTCTCAAAAGCTCTTCTAGCCTAAATAAATCCAGAAGGCACCAGAAGTCAAGATCTACAGAAGCAGAATAGAAAGCAAGCCCCATGAGAGCAAGAACATGATTAAAGCTCTATTCATGGTGCTCAGAAAAAGGCATAGTATACAGTAGCAGTCAAATGTTTGCTGAATAAATTATTTCACCCATCCTGAAATAATTTGCTAAATTAAAGTACTATAAAGTATTATGGGATGAATAAGATGCAGTCACTGGTATTAAGTTAAAAACTCTCTCCCCTTTGAATGAACCTCAACCCCCACTGAAAAAATACAATAAAGCTACATGTGCTTTAAGGAAGATGTGAACAAAGCATTATAGAGAGAGTTTAGAGAAGATCACTTCCAGCTGAGAGCATAAAAAGAACTTAAGCTGATACTTGAAGAAAAAAACAAGATTTTTACAAAAGGTAAAGGGGGCAAGAATATTTCAGGTAGAGATCAAAGGGATAGGGAAAAAATAAGTCTATGGGACTAGAATTCAATGTGTACGAAGGGAAGCAGGGGAACCATGGGTTTATAAGGGGTAGGTTTTAACAATAAGAAAGATGGGGACCAGTGACCTGCTTAATGGGCTTACCTGTTCTCAAAATGCAGTCTACAGGACCCTGGGAGCTCCTGACACCCCTTTAGAGATCTCAAAGTCAAAACTATCTGTTTTCATTACAGTACTATTTGTACTGATATTGCAAAAACCATGGTGAATACAATTGTTGGTGCCTTATAAACATGAATCGGTGCAGCAGTTATCAAACTGTACTAATAGTCATTGTATTCTTCACCACTATGCAGTTTCAAAATAAATATCCTTGATAAAGTAGTAAAAAATAATTTTTAAAGCTCTCAACCCTTAAGTACAAGACTACTGTTTTGTGTGACAAAATATAAAATACACACATGGCATACTTAAATAAAGGTTGCTCCAAGAAAAGCATATTATGTAATTGTTTGAGTTGCAAGCTAAACTAGCTGCACATGATATCATTTTTACTTTTAAAAAACGGCAAACTATGTGATAGGGACTTAGCAAACAGTTTCTCAAACAAGAACTAAACTGCAAGAAAAAAATCTGATAGCAAGTATCATCAGCGATAAAATTCAAGCTTTCAAGTACAAATTAGAATTTTGAAAAACTTGTTTTCACTTCTGTGAACTTGACAGCTTCCTGATACTTAAACATGTTTCTGATATAACTACAAATACTTTAAAATGAGATATTTGATAATAAAAAATGAAATATGTCCATTTTGGAAGATACACATACATACAGGGACCCATCATTTAACAAATGACCATTCCACAATGTCATGCATAGAAAAAATAGTCAAAAGTATAACACAGACCAATAGATTTTAATTAAGAGAGTATAAACCATTCATGGGTGTGACTTCAGATTTCACTTTACAAATAACATTTAAGAAAATATTATCTACAGAGTTTTGGTATAGGATTAAAAATAGAACATATACAACTATCAGAAAAAATACTACAACATTTCTCCTTTTTCTAACTAAGTATTTATGTAAAACTGAATTTTCTTCCTATACTTAAAGCAAAACCACACATCATAATAGACTGGATGTAGAAGCAGGTATAAAAATCCAGATATCTTGTAATAAGCTTGACATTAAAGACTTGCAAATTACAAAATGATTGCACTCCTCTATTATACTTTGTTTTGGAATATACTTATTTTTCATGAGAAAATATTATCTTGTAATCACATAATGGATTTATGCTATTTTAAATAAATTAATAATACTTTTTAATTTGTAACACTAAATATAAGCAAAAGCCACATGAGCAAAAACTCTTAGCGTCTTCAATTATTTTAAGAGTGTATAGGTGTCCTGAGACCATGAAATTTGAGAACTACTGTGGTAGAAAAAAGTAGGTCCTCAAACAGCAACACAAACTCAAGTTATACACACTTTCTAAATCCTATAATCAGTATAGCAGAACACCTAGGAAAGTCTCCAAGTATCCGAAGCTCTTCCAACTTGGATAATGTTAACTCTTGACTGACATGGATGGTCAATATTGTATAGAATTCTTAATTGACATAATTCTACTTAAGAAAGCCATTATCTTTTTAATTAACTATTCTTTAGTACAATGATAAGGAATCCAGATTTTCATCTGACATACTTTCAAATTATTAGACTGAGAATATTTGAAGATTTTTACGTTAGATTTAGAAGACTTGATTTAAAAAATGTTTCCTGGTGGTTTAGTCAGGGCTATAAAAATCAGCTATGAAGTATTTTGTGTTACTTTATGAAATATATTTAAGCTAAGACTGAAATAGTTCAAAAAATTATGTACACATATTTTTGGTAGCTTCTGGAAAAAGGGCTAAAATTTTGTTTGTTATGCAGACCTCCATCCTAATCGCCCACCTGCTATTTTCAAATCCTACCAACATCACCTAAAATCAAACAAAATAATAATAATATAAAAACATCTTGTCATGATACCATCTACAACCAGCCAAATAATCTTTTCCATTCTACTCTCTTTGGAAAGTGGTAAAATGTAAAAATGTGTTAAAAAAAAAAACCTGCATTGTTCACAATTTTAAATAATTCAAGCCATCAGATCAATATTAAGGATTATCAGGAGGACACATCACCTTTGACATATGAATAGCTTACTGTAAATAGACATAGAACTATAACTATGATATAGATAGTTCTTTCTTCAGAATTTACCTTATTTTTATCAACACTGCATAAATTCTTCTTTAAATACCTTTCAGAGTACATTAGGATCTTGAAAACATGGACTGTGCTTTCCTTACTCAACTTTATATTCCAGAATCTAGCACTGCACATGAAAGAGGTACTCCCTGTTTGTTGAATGGATAATTCAAAAAGCAAATGACTTATTTCAAAGCTCACTGAGTAGATATTATTTGCCAGTAACTATCATATGCAATATGGAGACTATAAATATAGTAAGTCAGTGTCAGTTCTGCCATTGAAGAATGCATGCATATCCGCTAACCCAGTATGCATGAAGCATGTTAACTCTGATTAGTAATAATATGTTACTGTAAGATGACAATTATTGAAGCTGAGTGATGGATACATGGGGATTCATGATACTATTCTCTCTAAAGTTGTATAAGTTTGGATTGTTTATCAATAAACACTTAAAATAATAAAACAATATAGACTATGGATCAGAACCTGAAGATACACGCTATAATATGAGAAGATGACAGTGTAGGCCTGCTGGCAGCTGGAAGTTTGCTGGGGCCCGGAAGATAATGCCCCTGGTTATACTTCTACCTCTTTTAAACAATTTTGCTCAACATTTGGCATTACTCATATAACAGGAATCCCATACAATCCACAGGGACAAGGCATAGTTGAAAGAGCTCATCAAACTATTAAAATGTACTTATTAAAGCAAAAAGAAGGAATTGGGAAAGGGTATATATTCCCCAAAGATAAACTTAAAATAACCCTTTTTACTCTAAACTTTTTAAATTTGGATTCATCAGGACTTAGTGCTGCGGAAAGGCATATGTGTCCAAAAAATGTACATAAGCCCAAGGTACTTTGGAAGGATATTCTAACAGGACAATGGAAAGGTCCTGACCCAGTAATTGTCTGGAGTCGAGGGTCTGTTTGTGTGTTTCCACAGGGAGAACAGCAGCCGATTTGGATTCCAGAGAGATTAACCAAGGTCCTGACCCAGTGATTGTCTGGAGTCGGGGGTCTGTTTATGTGTTTCCACAGGGAGAACAGCAGCCGATTTGGATTCCAGAAAGATTAACTAAAGCGATTTCTACAGACCAAAAAGAAGATGATTTGGCTCAAATCCATAACAACTGATATCCAAAACTCCAGTTTGGCTATTCTTACATCTGCAACAGAACCCGGATGCTTTTTTCAATATCTATTTTATTATTGCCCTTTGCCATATCATGAAGTTCTATTTTGTTTTTTGAGCTCATACAGACCTAGGTTAATGTTTTGCTGATCAGTTCTATTTTTTGACTATAGAGTTTTTAAACATTGCAAAGGAGATTTCACCTGTAAAAAGTTATAAGGCCTTTACTATAATGTTATGTGTTGTATGTATTATATTATGTGTGCACACTTGTGTTTTGTGTTATATGTTTGAATGTACGTATGTCCATATATCATATATGATGAGCGCTCATGATAAAATGGATCCAAATATTTTTTTTTCACGTAATTTATATGGTTTAATTTAAATTGGGTAAACAACTGTTGAGGATTGTTTTAATATGTAAACAAAAAAGAAGGTTAACAGATCTGTTTGTTTATTTTCACCTTTCCTTTTCATTATATTTAATAATTCTCTTAAAGATAATGTAAATTGTTAAGAAAATTGTTTTCTTTTAGTGCCTTCTGTAGTGTTACATAATTTTTTCTTTAGCCATTATTGCCAGAATTCCTATCTTCATCCCAGTGCCAGTGAA